AAAATGATGAAGAATGCAAGAGGTTTCTGGATCTACTAGCCTCTTCTTGTATCCCCAAGGATTCTCCTTCTTCTTTAAGCTTCAAAGCACTCAAAAATACTCATAAATGGCTCACAAGCTCATGGAAGGCCCTAGGGTTTGGACAGTGGGGGCTGAGAATGGGGCTAAAAGATGGAGAATAAGATGCTTAAATAGGGGACAAAATCCCGAATTTAGGGTATCCCAAACCCAGACCAACTCGCTGAGTAGGTCACTTAACCCGCGTCACAAAACCTCACTCATACTCGTCGAATCATCCCTCTGGACTCGGCGAGTAGACTCTTGAATTGTGGTTTTCCATTCTTTTCTAGGTCTTCTGAATTCGGGGTGTTACAAATAAGTTCGTTACCTAGATGTGTATAAAAAAATAGTTACCCAGATGTGAACAAACCAAAAATGTAAAGAGTAAATAACATGAATGGTCCCCGTTGTTTGGGTAATTTGTGCGTTTGGTCCCTAACTTATTTTTTTAACTCAGATGATCCCTACTGTTTATTTTTGTTATGCGTTTGGTCCCTGTCTTACCTCAAAGACTATTGTGCCCTTTTTAATTAATTTTTATATTTATGTATTTATTTTTTATATATTTTAAAAAATTAATAGACCACACATATCTGTATCTCACCACCCCAAACCTCAAACCACATTTGAGAAATTTAAGCTGGGTCCCACTAGTCACCATCTCATCTCTCATCCTCCTCAACTTCTATTTCCTTTCCATCTGTAGTGAGATCGACATCTTCACCATCTCTTCTTTATGAGACATGAATGACTAGGATCGCGTCTCCATATCTCACAAAATTAGCATGGTCTCAAATGAACCTATATATATATATATATATATATATATATATATATATATATATATATACTAGGTTACAACCCGTGGAAACCACGGGTAAAAGATTTATAACGATATAAGTAAAGTAAGATGCTAATTTGAGAAATAAACAAAAGTAAATTGCTATATTTTGCATTTTCTCCTCTATTGGATCTAGAAATATAGCATATATTAAGAGTTCACCCTAAATTCCACATATAGCAACCAACTTTGACAATCCCCCCTCAAATTTTGCAACCAAGTTTAGTAACTCAATAGTAAACAGTGCACCAGGAGCATCCAAGTTAAGATTTGACAACTTCCTCATTATATGTGTCACGATTTAGAACCTGTGAAAAAAGTTAAAAATCTCCGTTTAAAACTAAATTATTGGTATTTAAACAATTTTAATACTAAAATTAACAATTTTCATTTTTGTGCTATTGTTGTAAACATCACTAAAATACATATAATTTACACAATCTACCTTTTTACTTTAATGAGATTGCAAGAAATAGCAAAACAATTATCTTTTTTCCTATACAAGCATATAATTTAAATTTATTAATAACATCGATGTTCTTAAACTTTTTACCATAATGACATCTAGTCAAAATATTTTACTGCTATTACCGATTTGTAACCGACAATGTATTTAATACTCAATGGTTATAATGTCTAAGCACTTACAATAATTTACAGAGAACAAAAATATGTAGTAAATAAAACTCAATTTTTACAGTGATCAGCAAAAACCTATAGCCAATCAAATCATGCAGCAACATTTTATGAATGGTACTCTTAGTGAAACTAATAAAGAGGGTATTTTTAGTCCAACCAAATAATCATTTTTTTTATCAAATATGTAACAATATAAATGAGTTTGACCAAAACACTCTGTTCATCCAAAAAGCTACGAAACCACATCAAGTTAAGTCTAAATATCTTTTTCATGTATTTTTATTTTATGACAAAAGTACCTTTAGCCTTCAAAATACTTGAGACACATTCCCAATGTTTCTGACACTCTTTTCAAGTATGGAGAGCTTTAAAGAGAATTGATTGGCTTCTAAATGGTTTTTATCTTGCTTTAAGTGTGTGAGAACCCTTGGTAGAAGGATCTAGTGAGACACCAACTTGACGATGAAAAAAAATATTAAAATTAAGATATAGGCATTTTCACAAACATTCACTTAGGTATTTTCACATACAGGCTATGTGCATTACAATAGTCCAAAAGACTAACTACAATAATCATGAAATTTTCCAAATAAATGGGTATTTTATGGTGGGATAGCCAATGGTAGAATCGTTTTTATCTTGCTTTTATTGTGTGAGATCAAACCCTTGATAGAAGGATCTAGTGAGACACTAACTTGACAATAAAAAAATATTAAAATTAAAATACATATAACAATATTTACATATACATACGTCACTGACATAAACTTTCAAGCATACAATTTTTGTTTCAACAAACATTCACTTAGGCATTTTCACAAACAGGTTATGTGCATTGCAGGTACCATCATCTAAATTACAAACCATTAGTTGCAAAAATCATGAAATGAACAAATATCAACTTACTATTAACCAATTGAATGAAATTGTTTAAACAAAAAATGGTATAAAGACTATAACGAGGGTAAATCTCCAACCATCACACTCAAAACGAAGGCAAAGAGTAGAGAACATGTCGCCCCCTCAATACTAATGTTAACCTATGAAATATGTTCTTCAAAAAAAATATTTCTCAAAAAATCAATACAAAATCTCAGAAGACTCATTTGTAGATCAAAATGGGAAAGCAAAAACAATTTCTTAATGAGAAATCTTAAAACAAACAAACACCTATAATAAACTTCACAAAAAAGTCACGTTATTTCATATAATCGATGGCATAAATCCTCCTTTCACCAAAATAAAACAAATTCATGAAATCTAAAGATTTAGTTCAAATAGAAAAAAAAAGAATGGAAAGCATACCAAGTGAACCCTAATCTTGTATCTTGTGGCCGACAAGTCAACTGCTATTGGCATATGGAGTGTGATCATCGGCACAACCAAAAAATTGGATCAATAGATATATATATATATATGATAATAGATTTGAGTGAATAGCTGTTCATCGTGATTTAAACAGATGTTAAGGGGAATTCAAATTTAAAATATTGAATAACTGATCACCACCGCATCCTCATCTGCAACAAATCTCTTATCCATAACTGATCACCACCACTGCTACCTGTTCTCAACTGAAAGAATGATGAAGGATAGGAGATGGTGGTAGTGAGGATGACCGACGTAAAGTTTTGTTGAAAGCGAGAGCTTTTTGAAAACCTAATCACATTCGATGTACAATTTCAAGAGCAAAACTGATTCGACTCTCGTTCTTAATAGTCTCTATTATAGAGAGAAACGGGGAGATAAAAAAGGAAGTAATAAATTGATTTTGCGGATGATTTATTGCTGATTTACAAGGATTCCCTTTGAACTTTGAATTTGATTTGAGCGTGGAGAGATTCCCTTTGAACTTTGAATTTGATTTGAGCGTGGAGAGGAGGAAATCGAATTGTAGGGCTAGGGCAGAAAGGAAGAAGGGGTAATATGGGAAATTCACTTAGATGTTATTGGCAGGATAAATCGATTGGGAGGGGCTAATAGAATGCCACGTGACAAAATTGCTCTTATTTATTAGATTAGGGGATATATATATATATATATATATATATATATATATATATATATAAGTAGGTTTATGCGAAAACAGATTTCTTATAAAACTCAAACACATATACTTTAGAAATTCAATTTATTTGCAATAAATTAAATATAATAAGTTTATATGGGATGGTGTTATGGTAATATAGATTTAAAGGTAGTTTTAACAACCGTTTCTCTCTTTTTTTTTCACGTTCTTAACCACTTTTAAATTCAAGTTTTCATAATAAAAAATCAAAAAACATGCTTTGCTAATATGAAACAATTTCTCATGTATCATCAATTATCATAATGTAGTTCAAAGTTTGGATGGATTCTTGTCCAAAATATAAGGTTGAGGTGACACAGTTTTATATGTTTTCCTTGTTTTCACGTTTTCGTAAATTATTTGCATTTTCGCATGAGCTCTCCCTTATATATATATATATATATATATATATATATATATATATATATATATATATATATATATATATATACTTAATGATGTTTTTATACACATCTGATCATTGAATTTGTTTATGGTGTTCAAAATATACCATTACGACCGGTTATTGTAGGTTTAGCTAGTTTATTACGACTTTGGTATTCCAACGTTTACGGTCATCTTCTTCGTTTTTTTCCCTCTCTTTTGGGATTTGGTCTTGAATATGCATGAACATGTTTTCTTGAACCTCGTTTGTAGAAACTTGTTTCTAGATCTGTTTTTTTGGATCTGTTCTTAAATCTGGATCTGAACATAATGAATTTTTGAACCCAAATTCGAACACGATGTTCATGAAACTTGTTCGGTCATGTAAACCATGAGTTTGTTAAATACGACATGAAAATTGTCGTATGGACCTTCATTGATATGTATCGTTGGGCTCGACCTTATTATGGTTAGGGTCGCATTTGCTATTTTGCCTGGTTGATATTTAGGGTTTCGTTAAACTATTGTTTTCAAACTCGTGAATAAGAATACTTTATCATGTTGTGTGGATGTATGTCATATTAATCGAATCATTTTAAATATTGTGTCTTTATATGTATGTTTTATTCTCGTTTAAAAGCTAACAAATTCCGAGAGCATAAATTTTAAATCGATTTCAAAAAATCTTTTGTGTTTGTGTTCAAGAAACAATTTACAAGTGCTATATCACACAATTTATGTGTGTTCAAAAACTAAATGAACCACCTACATATCAATATATAAAGAATTGAGATTTCTAAACCCATAACATATCAATATACAGAGAAAGAATTGAGATTTCTAAACCCATGACATATCAATATACAGAGTATCGAGATTTCTAAACCCAGAAATTAGATGAACTTCAAAAACCGAGTAATCAAAACACATAGTTTAGAAATCTCTCCAAAGCAGTATCGTTTAGAAATCTCGATTTTTTAATGTAAGTGTAATAAACAAACAAACATAGCTTACAGATTGACAAATGATGTAGTGATTTCAATAACAATTTATCATACAAAATTACAAATATGTATAGTTTCAAAGCAAACACAGCTTGCTTTCACAGTTGGGACAGTAAGTTCTTCATCTCTAGTCGTGGTTTACACTTAGCTACAAGGGGTTCAGCTTTAGGCATGGAAAGCCCAAGACCTTCAGTCATATCAACCATCTTTTCACTTATTTTTTCCCACTCAAAACACTGAATCATTAACCCTAAAGTCAACCCCATAACCCGCATCGCCAACCCTTCCCCAGGACAGCCCCGCCTTCCAGACCCAAATGGCATCAACTTAAACCCGTCTCTTGTCCCTTCCAGCCCTTCAAATCTTTCTGGGTCGAATCTTTCCGGGTCGACCCATATACTCGGGTCATGATGTATGGCCCATTGATTGACAAGAAGCATTGTGCCATGTGGGATTTTATATCCCCCAACAATACATTCTTCTGATGACTCGTGAGGGACGAGTAACGGGCCCGCGGGTTTTAACCGTTGGGTTTCATTTATAATGCAATGGAGGTACGGGAGGTTGATTACGTCTGATTCATCAATAAGTCTGTCTGTACCAATGACTGTATCGATCTCGGTTTGTGCTTTTTTTATAACTTGTGGGTGGTTTAATAGAAGTGACATAGCCCATTCCATTGTTCCTGCTGACGTGTCTGTGCCAGCTGTTAATAATGCCTAATCACCAAAACAAAATAATTCAGTTTCAAAATAAAAAACAAAAAGATCAATTATCTAAATTATTCAACTATTATTATTAAATTGTGTTTTATTTGCTCTGACCGAACACTTAGATTTCAAATCTTTTAAATGATTATAATCTTTTCAAAGATTATGTGAAACAAACTTCCCTATAGTTTTTCATTTAATAATTATGAATAATATGAAGAATATTTTCTGATGGAATCAAATCTTGGGTTCTATTTTAATCAACCAAAAAATTATTCTCTTCAGACGACAAAATTAAGCTACAGAAATGAAGACTTTTGAGTAGTCGTCTAGGAAGGTGCCAAAAGAGGCTCCTGAATGTAGACAAGAAAGATTCATTTCTATGTTCCACACTAGGCAAATTCATAAGTCATCATCATCTAATTCTATAATATGGAACTTAAATTAGGATATGGACAAGTATGCAAGTAATGCAAAAACAGAAGGAGGATCTTACCAGAACGAAACTTCTGATCATTTCATCGGTGTAGTATTGGGGATCTGATTCTTGTAGAGATAATAGAAGTTCAATCATCGTCTTCTTCTTGTTTTCCCCTTTGGGTTTTCTAAGTTGTTCGATCAAGCCTTGAAAGAACACATCCCTCTGTTCCTTCAAAGCAATTAATTTCTTCTGCAATCCCTTCACTCCGAACCAACTCAAAAAGGGTAAGTAATCGCCAACATTGGCAGCACCGGAGAGCAAAAAAGTCTCTTTCAGTATCGCCCTGAACCGTTTCCCTTCTTCCTCCACCTCCGACAAATCGCCGCCGAAATACCTCTTCCCGGAGATCATCCTCATCATAACATTCAACGTCAGCTCATAGAAAACCGACTTCAGATCCACCGCGGACGATTGAGAAAGCAGTTTACGAATTAGGAACCTGCCTTCATCTACGCGTACGTCGTGGAACTCATTGAGACGATGAATAGATAGGATCTCGATTGCAGCGATGCGGCGGAGGTTGCGCCAGTTATCGCCGTAGGGCGCCCAAACGAAACTGGTGTAGTCGTTGCCGATGATCTTGCCGAATAGCATGTGAGGGCGGTTGGCGAAGACGATGTCGTTCTTGGTGAAGCATTCTTCGGCTGCGGATGGAGAGGAGACCAAGAGGACACGGCGGGATCCGAAGCGGAGGAAAAGGATGGGACCGTACTTGGCGGAGAGTTTGGCAAAGGTTCTGTACATTGGTGGTTTCAAAAGATATAGGTGGCCGATTATGGGGAGGGTTGGGAAGACGGTTGGTGGGAGATCGGAGAATTTGCGACGGAAGGTGGATGTGAAAAGGTAGGAAGCCATCAGCAGTAGCAAGGAAATGTATAGATAAGGAACCTCCATGGTTGGAGATATTGTTAATGGCGGACTTTTGTTTTTGTTTTATAAGCGCTTCGAATGTGAAAGGAAGAAGGGAGCGTTGACTTCATTAGACTATGAGTTGTAGTCCTATCATCCCTATTTGAGAGACCGCGAAGATAAAAACCAAAGCAAGACTTTTAAGGGGTATCGTCGACACAAAACCGATTTTCATTTATGTGCCACCTCATCTTCATTATTCTTCATTGTTCATTACCAAACCATTAGTTTTTTAAAATGGTACTCACTTCATATTATTTATTTTTTATTTTTAATTTTTATTGACATTAGGTTAAATGAAAAGCATAATTACTAAACATAAAAAAATATTTTACACATAAAAAAAAATTCCATTTTACTAATGTACGTTTAAAATTAGCCCAAAATTAAACCAAGAAACCAAAGTTTACTCCGGAATTACTTAGGCCTATTAAAACCAACCTTAGGCCACAAAAATTTAGCTCAACAAAAATTTATAGTGTTGTGATTCTTATTTGGTCGAAATGGTTGAAGAGATAGCATTGGTGGTTGTTGTTTCCCTCAATCTTCCTCAAATTTTTTACCAGCCAATCAAAAGCTTTGTCTTTGTCCGTGAAGCGTACCACGCCACAAGACACCTACGCCCGGTTGGGGCGATGTTCATGCGTGAAAAAGCTAACATACCGGATAGAATAACAATATCTTTGTTACTTGCACTTGTCTGTTTGGTACATATATGAAATTGAGAGTAATTGTGTTGTTTTTTCTTGCCATTTCAAAAAAACAAAAGAAAAAAAACCAAAAAAAATGAACGAATCCTATCTCTTTTTTTTCTCCAAAATTTGATAACTGATATTCGAACTCGATTTTTTTTTTCGAAATAAAGTTAATTTTTTTATGATAATAAAACTTAGTTATCATCGTACAACGAGTGAGATGAAAAACATGTAACAAGCTGCACTGCTAAGCCTTTTTATATGATAAAGTCAATTCTTTTGAAAAATATATTTATAGATCTATGGGATAGAACATTGCTATGCATGATTCATTGTACTCTCTTAAGAAGCTTTATCGCATCTGACATGAGGAAACCAAACATATCAAATGCAAATGGTATCAACACGTGTTGATTTTCCATGCACGATTTTTCATGTTTGGTGACCTTGCCTGTAGCAGCTTTTAAAGCAGTCTGTCCCGCTGTGAAACCCCTAGCCCTCAAGCCCACGAGAGGGGATACCCGTGTAAGGTCCACACATGCGTGTTTCCATCCAACCCATCCAAAAATCAGAACGTCGCCCAGTCTAAGGGTTAACCTTCCTTCGGCCGGGTCAGTCAAAATATTCACAGGAGCTTCTTTCTTGACGGAAACCCTGACATGCTTAAATATGTCAAACAAAACATCCTTAACCATATTGTGCATGTATTTAAACCCTGAGAGTTCTTTACACCGGACATATCTCGTCAGTTGAGAATATTGGAATCAAGAGTCGATATGTGAGGATAGTACGATACTCCACCCGAAATAACTCGATTTGATCGGGTAAGTTTCAAAGTTACAAAAAAAATAAATGAATACTTCCTTCTTCATTTTTGACCCAAAATTGGATACCCGATATTCAAACCTAATTTACAATACCTCCTTATTAACAAACCCATTTTATTGTGTAAAAATAACAAACTTAAGGTTTATCTGTTTTGGTGTGTATTACAAGTTTAGCCGGTCATTTACATATCTACACTTTTGAATCAAGTTTTAAAGTTTGTTTCAAATTTAGAGTAGATTTTTTTTCTTTACAAATCCGTGCCATTTTTTTTCTCAAATTTATATTTTACAATATGTTTAAGACTTTTTGTAGTTTTTTATAGACTTTTTACAACCTTTTTTAATCTTAATTTATAAACTTTTTTACAAATTATTTTACAATCTTAAAAAAAACTTACAGTTTTTTTACACTATAAAAAAACTAAAAACTTCTTATACAACAATTTTAATTTTTTTTAAACTATTATACCATTTTTAAACTTTTTACAACCACTTTTATTTGAGTTTTACTAACTTTTTAAACCTATTTTACAATATTTTTTAAATTTTTTACAGGCTAGGAATGTTGAAAAAAATATAATATTGTAATTTAAAATGTTTAATGTAAGTAAAAAAGTTTTAAAAATGTAAGTTGTTAAAAGAATTGAAACCTTTTTACATTTCAAACTTTTTAAACCTTTTTTTTTTAACCTTCCGAGGTTGTAAAAAAAAAAGTTTCGATATGATGTAAAAAGGTTTTAAAAAACTTGTATAAAAGTTTATGTATATTGTAGAAAAAGTTTAAATAAGTTGTATACAAATTTATAAATAATTATTAAAATAAATTATAATTTTTTTTATAAAAAATTCATGCAAAAGTCTTTAAAATATTGTAGAAAACTAAATTTGGAAAAATAGAATATTGAGACAGTTTAGTAAAAAAAAAATAAGTCAGGCCAATTTATAACAAAGGTTTTAACTTGGCTAAAATTACAAATTTATAAATAATTTAACAATTTTGTAACATGTCAACACATATAAAACATCAATTTATTATATTTTTATACAATAATTAGGTTTGTTGACAATTGAAATAAACTCAATTATAGTTTAAATAATTTATTTATAAAATCTATGATAACATTTTTTTATTAAATATTGGAAAGTGATTGATATAATATAAAATCCAAAAGACAAAATATCTCAAAAGGTTCTTAAAAAACTTTTGGATTTGATTAAAATCAAACCATGTTTTTTTTTTTAAAAAAAAAAAAAAAAAAAAAAAAAAGCTTTTAAAAGTTCGTCTCAAAATATACCCATAATCCGCTTATTTTAACTCATTTCAAATTTTCCTATCAACAAGATGCAACATGAAGGCAACTAAAGGAATCATAAGTATATTCGTAATCCCGCTAGTTAGAAACAGGAGCTAACGCATCATCACCAACTTCTTCCGAATAAACAATCGACTTAATTACAGCTGCGACAACAGATTCTCCATCTGTAGACGTGGTTTACACTTGGCGACCAATGGAACAGCTTTAGGCATCGTAAGCCCAGGAGCTTCACTCATATCCACCATTTCTTCACTAATCCTTTCCCAATCAAAACACTGAATCATCGACCCCAAAGTCATCCCAAGAAGACGCACAGCCAACCCTTCCCCCGGACAACTCCGCCTTCCAGACCCAAACGGCAGCAGCTTAAACCCATCTCTTGTCCCTTCCAGACCTTCAAATCTTTCCGGGTTGTACGTTTCCGGGTCGGCCCAGACCTTCGGGTCATGATGTATCGCCCATTGATTCACCAGCACCATCGTCCCTCCGGGGATGTTATACCCTCCTATCACACAATCTTCTGATGCTTCGTGTGGAACTAGTAAAGGGCCTGGGGGTTTCAGTCGAAGGGTCTCGTTTATGATACAACGAAGGTAAGGTAGATTTGATATGTCAGATTCATCAACAACACGATCTTTTCCGACAACTTGATCGATCTCGTTTTGCGCCTTTTGTAGAACTTCTGGGTGGTTTAGTAGAAGGGACATGGTCCATTCCATGGTTCCTGCTGAAGTATCACTCCCAGCTGCTAATAAAACCTGATCACAGAAAGTATATATAATAATCAGATTTCTAAAACATCAAGAAATTCACAAGAAACGATTATTATGATCTGAGTATATCGATCTTACAAGCACAAAGCTTCGGATCAATGCATCAGTGTAGTATTCGGGATCGGATTCTTGTAGTGATAACAAAACTTCGATCATTGTCTTCCTTTTGTTTCGGGCTTGATCACTTCCTTTTGATTTGCGAAGTTCATCGATAATTCCTTGAAAGAAAACATCTCTTTTCTCCTGCAACGCGATCAACCTCTTCTCCAGTCCCTTCACTCCCAACCAACTTAAAATTGGCAAATAATCTCCGACGTTTGAAGCTCCGGCGAGTATAAAGGTTTCATGTAGCATTTCCCTGAATCGTATTCCTTCTTGCTCCAACACCGGATTATCACCACCGAAGTACCTCTTCCCGGCGATCATCCTCATCATCACATTCAAAGTCAGCTCATAGAATAAATTCTTCATTGTCACCGGAAAAGAACTGGACGCTAGCTTACGGATCAGCGACCTTCCTTCTTCGGCTCGTATGTCGTGGAATTCGTTCAGACGATGGATGGATAGGATCTCGATGGATGCTATGCGGCGGAGGTTGCGCCAGTTGTCGCCGTAGGGCGCCCAGGCTAAACTAGTGTAGTTGACACCGATGATCTTGCCGAATAGCATCCGGGGGCGGTTGGCGAGGATGACGTCATTCTTGGTGAAGCATTCTTCGACGAGGGAAGGGGAGGAGATCACCACGACACGGCGGAAGCCCAATTGGAGGCGGACAATGGGACCATATTTGTCGGAGATTTTTGCCAAGGTTCTGTACAGTGGTGGTTTCAGAAGGTAGAGGTGGCCGATTACGGGGAGAGACGGGAAGACAGTGGGCGGGAGGTTGGAGAATTTTCGACGAAAGAGGGATGTGAAGAGGTAGGAACCTAGAAGTAGTAGAAAGGAGACATATAGATAAGGTACTTCCATTGTATTTGTTGAAGATGGTGGTGTATACTTCAATGGCAGATTTTGGTTTTAGTTTTATAGTTGGTAAAAAGCTAGTGCTGATTGAGTACGTAAGCTTGCGTGTAAAATGGTGAAGACTGAAGACTTGGCTTTTCCATTTTTCAATTTTCGTTGCACTTCTAGACAATTATAAAAATTGTTACATGAAACTTATTCAAAGTTTCTAGAAAAGTAAATGAATTTGGTATTGATGACATGTTTGAGCAGTTATCTCATACGAATTAGGTTGATGCAAATTTGACTGAAGGAGTTTTGTTGTAGAATTTAGAGTAAATTATAAAAATGGTCCTTACAATCAATTATCAATTTTGGTTCAAATGGTTTTATTTTCTTGCCGTTTTAGTCTCGGTCTTTGATCCACATGAGCACATATAAATACTATTCTATTCTAATGTCATTTATTTTATTTTTTATTCTTTCTTTTATGAAATGTTACTATAAAATGTAAATAAACGCTCTTCTATTTCCTTCTTCTATTCATCAACAACCTTTTCTATTACCACCAGCTCTTCTTACACCACCATTTCAACAATCCATCACCAATTATACATAAAACTTACAAACGCATTGGCAGGGAAATCAAATCAATTGAAGATTCCTTTAACAAAGATTAAATCGAGTGAAACCAAAATCAAAACCATTATCGAAAACCTACCATTACATAAACCTAGAATAGAAAAATGAAATCACTCGTTACAATAAGGATTCCATTAACAATGGAACCAAATGAACTGAGAAATTGGTTGAAAAATCGCTAACTTTCAAAGTCCATTTTCATGGTTTTCGGTCATTAGTAAGGGTTACATATGTTCTCATTAGATAAATTTATTTTCGGTCATTAGTAAGGGTTACATATGTTCTCACTAGATAAAATTATTTAAACATAATGGAGATGATTGCAAATTCGGAACAATTTGAGTTTCATTTTGTGAAAATGACAAATTAGCCCTACGATGTTTTGCATATTTACTCATTCAGTCCCTTAAGTATTATTTGTCCCTTAATAAATTGTAAAGTGACTTATCTTTTTAGTCCATATAACCTACCGTTACCGGTTTCCATGTTCTTCTTCAACTCCACAACCTTATTAGTCTCCTTTAGAGAGACACGTGACCAAAATTTTCGAAATCAAAACCTTGAAACATACCCAAAGAGACATATGATAAAAAGGTGTAACGCTTATGCCCTTTTATTGTGTACGTAACATCAGGATGAATGTAATTAGCTGCTAAATCTAAATCCCACCCTGCCTTTTTCATCAACCGGATCAAAAGTTTTGTGAACTGATGTGAAGATCGACAAGCGTCATGTAACAATGAATCGAAAACCCTAATTGTTAGCAAAAACCATTTGGGGGTTTTAAGTTTTTCGACAATTTGATTGATTGTCTGGAATTACACTTCTCGATGTCCTCTAATTTCTTCTTTAACATTGAAACCTTTCGTTTTTCCATTGACATCTGACTGCAATCTATTAAACATGGTTTCTAAAGCTCTTAATTTGTTCTATTAACCCGAGCTTCCAAACAAGACGCAATTGTGAAATCAAGATTAAAATCCAGATTCTTTCAAGAATCTATATACAATCCCCTTAAATCGTATAATTTTTGAAGTTTCTTGACTAAAGCTTTATCATTAATCATGATCCCTTCTTCATCAAACGACACATGGGATGTTTGTAATTGAAGATAAGAAGCTTCGAAAGATGAAATCATAGCGAAAAAAGATGAAGTTAGATAGTTACCGAAGTGGGTATTGAAGGGTTGTATGATAGAAGTAGAAACACTTTGATTTTAACTTTTGAATTCAAATCAGGTACGATGATGATGGCTTTCTGATTGGCGATGAAGTTGGAGTCAAGAAGAGTGAACACATCTTCGGTATCAGAGACAACAACTAATACAACGATGGAGTTGACGACATATTCTTCTTCTTTGGTGAAGAATTCAAAGGTTTTCGCTTTGAATGCAATTACGAACTTCTAAAACATTTTTGAGATTTGTGGGGGTTTTGAAGTACCTGCAGGTCCCAGTTCCATTTCGATCTTTGTTCTTCTTCACATAATTATATAATGATTTCAAGGTTTTCGCTCGGTTTCGTATTCGTTGATTTAACGATCTTGAGTTATGAGAATTTTAGAGTGAGAAAGAATTGAGAGAGAAGGAGGAGGATGATGAATTTTTTGACTTTTCAAAGTCAATGTAACATCCTGTTTCGAGAAGTTTCTTATTTCGGGATCGTGGACAATAAATGGATCAGTTAAAGGCCTTGCACTTCAAAGGAATAAAGTTTAGACCCCATTGCATGTTGATAATATTGGTTATGTGATCTAAGCCCTTGGTTTGTGTTTTGGAGTCAAAGGGTAAAATGGGAAAAGTGATGTTTCAGACTTCTTTTATGAATTATGGTTTTTATTTCGACATGATTTAAGCCAAAATTAACTAGATAGAAGTGTGGGGCTCTTCAATAACTTTTCGTGGATATAAAGATCGCCGAAAACGGAGTTGAAACGAAGAAATTATGGTTGTTTGAAGTTGAGGTGGATTTGAGTGAAAATCGTCGCCACAGAGTAGGGATCAAAGCCCACGACGTGGCAGTCGCCACGACACGGTGAATCGTGGCCAAAACATGGTGATCAGTCAGGACCAAGCCCACGATTTTTAGGGTTTCAACGTATTTAAGCATAAGGTTTCAACTTTTTGGCTATTTTATCAGCCTCCATCACTCTAGAACCCCTTGGGAGAAACCCTAGCCTCCACCTTCAATATTTGAGCTTCTCCTCTCTTCTTTATCCTCTTTTAGATGATTTTTATGTTATTTTGATGAAGTTTTAAGATCAAGAAGGTTCTTTTAATTGCAAGGAATGATGCTTCAAGTTTGGATCCATCAAAGACACTATAGTGCTGTTTGTTTTTTTGAAGCAAAAATTCATGAAGTCTGCGGACCACCTCTGCAACCATATGCAGTAGAAAAGGTGGACCAAACGACTGCAAACCGTAATAAGAAGCGTGTTTGTTTTTTTAACATCTGCATGTTGCTGCAGGTATTAAAAAGGTAAAATAAACTGATTTTATAAACCGAAAATAGTTTTTTAATATCGAAAATTTAATAATGTATGACATTTCAGCAAGAATTTATGATATTTCAACAAAAAATAATGATATTTCAACAAAAAATAAATATATTTTAGCAAAAAATAATGATATTTCATCAAGAAATTATCATTATTCAATATAAAAAAAATCCAACAATAATAAACAAAAAAAAAGGTAAAATAAGATTTCAGCAAGAAAAAGGAAGAAGAAGAGGTTGGAAGAGACAATACAAGTGTTGCGCCAAACAGAGCATACACAGAGGTTTTTTACTCTAAAGACTTCTAAAAAACAAACAATTGCGAGATTACAAGTGATGCGCGTGTGCTGCGCCGCGCAACAATAAGAGGTCTGAAGATGTTTTTTACAAAAAACAAACAACACCTACATTTCTGAAATATTGTAAGTATAAAGTTCCAACCTTGCTCTTTAGTTCTTTGGATCTTGTATTTTGGGGGTTTTTGGCACTTTTGGTCCATTTTATGGGTGATCTTGGAGTTGAGTGGACTCCAACATCTTTTGATCAGATTAGAATGCTTCTTAGATGTAACAGCCTAAAATTCAAATAAAATTTTTCATTTTCAAAAAGGAAATTACATCCATAAATTGTTTCCAAAATCCCTGACACCTTAAACATGTTCAATTATCAGAGTAACAATATCAGTAAGTGCGGAAAATAGTGGAGAGTGAATGCTGCACCATCAAGTCGGGCCCTTCCCCTTAGTACCGGAAGTACCTGAAATCACAATTTAAACTGTAGGCAAAAGCTCAGTGAGTTCCCAAAATACCACATAACATACCATCACAAAATACCACACAATATACATATGATTTCCATGGGCTACCCCCATGGTCTTTCCCCTGGAATGCCATGGGCTACCCTCGTGGTTTGATATCCAAGTGTCATGGCTGCCCCCATGGTCTTCCATGCCATGGGCTCCCCCATGGTCTTCAGACAAGTAAACACATAGACAACTATCATTTCTACATGTCAAGTAATGGGCCGTCATTGGTGCCTTCGACCCATTGGTATAGTGAGAGACTCACCTCAGTCTGCTAATAAATACTAACTGCTCGGCTACCGATCCGACAATCTCACACTAAACATACACAAATTACCCTAATCAGAATTATGACACAAACCAAATCATGTGCCCGATATCCCTAAGTCCAAACTCCTCAAATAAGGCCCAAAAGCCTTTCACATTTAATGGGCCTAACTATCCCTGGTCCAAAAGCAATAACATGCCACAAGGCCCAAAAGGCCCAACAATGCCACCTAAGGTCCATTAGCAAGTTCAAAGGCCCAATCCACTCTAACAGATCAAGGCCCAAAAATTAAATAGGGCCTAAACTACTCAAAAGCCCAACACAAGACCAAAAGCTCACTGGGAGCGTACGCGGGGGCATAATACAGGAACGCGCATCGTACTAGCCCACCATGCAGTACGCGTTGCGTACACCTTGGTACGCTCGGCATACTGCCCAACTTAACCCAAACAACCATTTGGCTCTTAACCCATGTAGACAATCAATTCCAATACCTGATCTCGATCAAAATAAGGTTCTTAGGGCATAAAGTTGGCAACTTTATGCCTTAACATGACTTATGGGAGTACAATATCCATTTTAGTCCACCAAAACTCACTTTAAAAGTCCTAAACTCATGCATGGCTTCACACCCATCAAAAAGATTACATTTTTATGCTTCTAACATGCCAAAGGGAATAAGATCTAGCATTTCTAGCCTCTGGAGTTGCCCAAACTCACAAAGGAGGTTCCATGGACCCAAAAATGACCTTAAAGCAAGTCCTAGATCTAATAATCAAAAGAATCAGCAGGGTAGAAGCTTTTTACCTCCAAAAGCTTCCCAAGATGATATAGACTCATGATC